AAAACATTAATCAAATTTCCTAATTAATCCTAATTAAAATGATTAAAATCTAATATTAATCCATGAATTAATTCTAAAACTATTAAACTCTAATTAAAAGAAATGATTAATATCTAATTACTCTCTATTAATTCTACAAAAAAAATAAACTCTAATTAACCCTATTAAAAAAATAGAAAAAGAGTTATCCTATTTAAAAAAAAAATTAAAATCTACTATTTAATATCTAAAAACAAAAATCTATTTAAACTATTTAAAAAAGAAATATCTATTTAAAATTCTAACAAAACTATTAAATCCATAAGAAAATATTAAAAATTCCTATTTAATATCTAGAAAAATCAAATAAATCTATTAAAAACTATTAAAATCTATTAAAAAATCTAGAAAATAAAAGAGAAAATTCTAAAAATGCAGGGAAGCCAATTAAATCGATAAGAAAACAACTGCGCAACCGTAGCGAAATAAGCAGTAAAAACCGGACACCGAAATGTCCTCAAAAACAACAACGAGAGCTGAAAACACCGAGACGAGCACAAATTCTCAAAACAGCTTATTCAAACTGGCCTGAAATGCCTGAAACGCCAGGGGAGGCTGTAATCCTGATAAAGTCAATCTGACTGCAAAAATGCAATGGATGCGGTATGTAAGTGCAGAATGCAAAATGAGTCGAAACATAAGCCAAATACAATAATTGGTTGGTCAAATTTTGGGGTGCAACAATATTTAGGAAGATCACTTTCATTGATCATAGTTCTTCCCAATTCTTCCAAAATTCAATTTTTACGTTCCACAACCCCGTTTTGTTGAGGGGTACGTGGTGCGGAAAAATTATGATCAATCTTATTCCTATCACAAAATTATTCAAAGAGATGATTTTAAATTCACCTCCAAGATCACTTTGAATTGTTACAATGTTTGTGTTCAATTTATTTTGAGAGAGCTTTGTAGACTTTTCAAAAGCCGAAAAAGTATCGCTCTTGCTTGCTAAAAAAATAGTCCAACAAAACCTAGAGTAGTCACCGACAATCATAAAACCATAGTAATTACCACCTAAGCTCTTAATCCTAGATGGTCCAAAGAGGTCCATATGCAGGATTTCAAGGAGTCTTGTGGTTGAAACAATGTTTTTAGATTTAAACAAGATCCTTGTTTTATTTGAAGAAAAATCCACTTAATCTCTACCCAAAACAAGATTACAACCAATCCTATGTTTGGACGTTATCACTCTTGATCAAGCACAACAATTAAAAAGGATGATTATGTGTGATTTTTGATGAATGCAAGATGAGAGTGAAGATGAAGAGCAAAAGGTGTATATTTTCAAATTTCTTCTTGTTATAAAAAATGGAACAAATGATTATTTATATGAGAATGAATGAATGCAAGAAAAGATGATTTTGGAAGTACAAAATGACTTAATTTTGAGTGCAAACAAGCGATGAGTCGACCTATGCAGAACTATGAGTCGACTCATAGGTGGCATAATGCACCAAATGAAAAACACTATAACATGAGTCGACCTATGCAAAGCTATGAGTCGACTCATAGGTGGTAGAATGCACCAAATGAAAAACATTACAACATGAGTCGACCTACAAAAGCTATGAGTTGACTCATGAGTCGAACTACAAAAGCTATGAGTCGACTCATAGAGGATAAAATGCTCCAAAACGAAATTCCTTCAGCACGAGTCGACCTATACTGTGAGTGAGTTGACCTATACACATGAAAAATGCCAAAAAAATTATTTTTGATAAGAAGTATGATTCTAAATGTCTTCCACATGTTTAAGGAATGATTTTAAACATTATGAAGCATGAACGCATGGCTTAGATAGAGCGATACCATCCAAACTACACAATAACTAAACTTCCTTGATTAATTTGACATCATTATAAAACACAAAGGTATAATGATAGGGAACCTTGCCCTCACATCTCTCAGATATTGGGTATATAATTTCTTCCTAATGTAACACTCTAAGCCACCTGCGACCATTTCGACTAAATTGTCTTCAGGTACCTGAGAGAAACATCTCGACTTCATTAGCCTAAACTTATTCAAGTAGTCATCTATGGACTCAGAGAACTTCCTCTTCACACTGCCTAATTCTTTCAGGCTAATTTTTGACTGAACAATATAGAATTTCTCATGGAATACCCTTTCTAATCAATTCCAGTTACATATGGAGTTTGGAGGAAGGGTTTTGAACCAAGTGAAAACATTTTGGTCAGAAAGTTTGAAAAATATTTCATCTTTAAATTCTCATGATTGGCCAAGTCACCAGCCTCTTTCTGGTATCGAGCGATGTGTTCGATAATAGAATCATTGGTGTCACCCACAAACATAGTAAGTTTAGGGGTTTTCCAACCCTTAGGGAGTTCAGTTTGCAATACATACTCAGACAAGGCAAAAATAAAGTTTGGTCTATGGAGACCAACATTAATCCCATTTCAGGATAAGATTTGTTCAACCACATTAGCTATGTTATTCTGCCCCCCCCCCCCCCCCCCCCCCCCCCAAAAAAAAAAAAATTGTCGAACATTTCTAGTCCTTTGGTTTGCATCCTGATTTCTATTGACCAATACCAATTTTGGGCCATTTTGACCAACGTCTGCTTTGACTGCCCCTTGTACAGGCTGTTCGACTTGTTGGGAAATAACTCGTTATTACCCCTTAGTTATTAGGGAAATATGGGTTTTGAAATCCTCCGCCTACTTAGACTTGAGGGGATTACTGGATGGGCACTTGAGGAGCGCCAAATAAATCAGCAATTCAACCCAATTGATGGACTAATTATTCGTAAGTATGCTTTGTGTTTTGGATCAAAGGATTAAACACAATATAATTTGTTGTGTGAGCATATTCACCATATCATGGTTGCTTTCATCCATTCGCTGCCTCACAGATACGGAGGAACTAGTGGTTAGATATGAGATTACTTGAGGGATATATCCTAACCCTCCTTGTGGTTGTTCATTCGACTAGGATTGCTTATAGTCGATCCTAATGCTAAGTATAGATTGAGAAGGTATGCAACACTCATTGCATTATCTACATATGTAGGTGCATTGGTTTATAGGTCTGAAATCGTTGTAGCTGGCATGTCATATGGATATTCCCCAATACTAGAGGTAGCGTGAAACTTGGGAGAAAGGAAGACTTAGGGTATCCTATAATCATTTGTGTGACTCTGGGAGTAGTTGGAATACTCGTTACTTGTGGTGGGGGAACCACCATTTTTAGTAATGTCGTCGAAACCGACATCTGACTTACAAAAGGAGCAGTTACCCCAACAGTTGTTGAAGTACCTGCACCACTAACTGTTGATTTAGTTGGTTGTTCTTATCTAGAGCGTTATTATGGGGAAGGGAAGTAATATTTGGACGTATCATCTCAAATAAAGTCTTACCACTTCTCAGACGCATAAACACCCAGACATTGAAAGTATTTAATGTATGAACAACAAAGGTAACAAAAAATGCGCAAAACTTTTCTAGAAAATTTTAAATATCTTGCACAAAAGAATCCCACTGAGTGTGCCAATTTGTTTACTGTTGTTTTTGGTAAATCAAATCACAAGTTTTCATTCACTTATAGGATTAAACTCGAAAAAAATCTTAGGACATATTGCGCGAAAGATTTGAGAAAATATGTTTGTGCTTTGAATATTGAAGTTTAAATATGAAGAAATTGGAAAGAACTTCCAATAAGAATAGTACAAGATTGTATTTGAAATAAAACAAAGAAATAATAAAAGTAACTAAAACAAAAATACTTTAATTACAAAATTATAAAAAGGACGTAGATTGATACATATTTTTCTCACAAACTCTTTTCTCTATGTGACTTTGTTACTCGAGTTTTATAGGGAAGAATGATAAAATTTGTGAACTTGATTACATGAACGAAATCAACTTATATACTACATATGACAATAATCGTCAATAATGATTACTACCCTAGAACTCAACACATATCCTATTACGCAGACTTCCTGATATGTTTCCACGTATTGGTCTTTGAACCGTCTCTTATTGTTAAAATTGTCTTCACAACCTTTAACTACCCTTCTCGAGGGGTTTCTCTATAGAACTGAGGCAACATGTCTCTAGATTGTCCATTCTTTGACCTCAAAACACACTAAGTCCCGAAACACCTGAAAGCAAGTTGAACTCACCAATTTTACATTATACATTTGTGTTGAAATGTTAATTCATTGCGAATCTTGTTGAGATTCTGAATATGTTTTAAAAAGAGTGGTCATAATTTTGTGAATCTATTCCTACGACTCTTCCAAATTAGATTTAATAAATTTTAATGCAGCGTCAAAAATCACATGCTAACACTCACATTTATACATATGATCTCCTTGTATAACTACCCGAATATAGTATGTCCATTTTCATGCATATGATCTCCTTATATAACTACAACAAAGTAGTATGTCCATTAAACGCGTGTTGAAGAAATAATACCATCTCTAATAGAAAATAGATTTACAAGGAGAACCAATTAACGCACGTTGAAGAAATAATACCATCTCCAATAAAAATTAGTCTGCCATTACAAATTATAGTTTTAATTGGACTACTCTAAAGTGCTAGAGTATTTTTTTGGGCTACAAATACATAATTGTTTACTGTTACATATACATAACAAGTACTTTAACAGAAAACAATAATAAAAATGTAACGGTCATAGTAGATTTTAATAAACTTTTATGTGAAAAATTATAAGCACTACACGTCGAGAAACGTAGCATCCATGACGGAAAGTGATTTACCTTCAATTTCACGCTTTCTATTGAGTGTTTTGTTATTATCCACCACTACTGCATTTCCTTCATCATTCATTTCTATCTTATATATCACACATTACAGTTAACACGTTTTTGATGTAAAACCAAATAAGGAAAATAATAAATTCTGCATTTAATATATTTTTTAACCTTTTCATAATTTCAATCTTGAAAGCGAAAGAGTGAAAAAAAAAAAATGAAACAATTACACAAGCAACACAGCTTGAATCACAGAAGAGAAGAAGAAATGGGAAGCGGACAAGGTGAAACTCCACCGTACTCCCCCAAATCGATGAAGCACTCACGATCGCTCCCTAGATCGATCAACTACCTCTTGAGGGAACAGCGTCTTCTCTTCATTTTGGTTGGGATTTTGATCGGTTCAACGTTTTTCATCATTCAGCCGACGCTTTCTCGGATAGGTCCGCCGGAGGGTTCGTCGTTTCTCCCTAGATCTGCTGGATTTGTTCGGTTTGATCACGGTGGTGGTAATGGGAGAGTTGGACGACTTCCGGCGGGAATTGGTGGTCGGCGGTTGAGAGTGGTGGTTACCGGTGGTGCTGGATTTGTTGGAAGTCATTTGGTGGATAAGTTAATTGGGAGAGGGAATGATGTTATTGTGATTGATAATTTTTTTACTGGGAGGAAGGAGAATTTGGTGCATTTGTTTGGGAACCCTAGGTTTGAGTTAATTCGTCATGATGTTGTTGAACCGATTTTGTTGGAGGTTGATCAGATCTATCATCTTGCTTGTCCTGCATCACCTGTTCATTACAAGTACAATCCTGTCAAGACAATCATATCCTTTTTGAGTTTATTCTATTATGATATGATGCCATTTTCATTTTTTTTATCGTAGAGTAGAAATTGATTATAGAGCTTTAGAATTGATTAAGCTAGAAATTGGAAATGTTTGCTTCTAGAATTGATTTTGACACACAAATAGAATTGATTTTGGCACTTAAATTTATTGTTCGAACTCACTTTTTACATAAATGTAGATTGGCCTAAATCATTTTATCTTTATCTCATTTTTAGTTAGAATCAATTTTACGTGATCAATTCAGACAAAATCTCTTTTTGTCCCGAACTAAACACACTTAGTGGTTGATTGGAAATTTGAATTTTGGGATCCTTGACTTTCTGTGATTGATGATTTACAAGACAAATGTTATGGGTACACTTAATATGTTGGGGCTTGCAAAGAGAATTGGGGCTAGGTTTCTTCTAACTAGTACTAGTGAGGTATATGGTGATCCTCTGGAGCATCCTCAGAAAGAGACTTACTGGGGGAATGTTAATCCAATTGGTGAGTGAGTTTATAAACCGAAATCTTACTGAGAAATTATGTTTTATTTCAATGGTGGCTAAATTATTATGTTGAAATATTAGGTGAGAGGAGTTGTTATGATGAAGGAAAGCGAACTGCAGAGACACTGACTATGGATTATCATCGTGGTGCTGGCGTTGAGGTAATTTATGAATTACGGGTGTTTGTTTTATCAAAGCTGGTGGTTTAGGTTATTTAACTCAACGTCTTCTCTTGTTTTGGATTTGATAATTTTGTGTAACTTTGTTTATATAACTTCAAAAACATAGATTGATTACATGTGTTCCATTTCACCTTGCTCAATATTTGTTAACTACTTGACTTTTTACTTGTCAACTAACTAGTTAGAATATCCTTAGCTTTTTAGACTGTTCAATCGACGATGATACACAAACAGATCGTAGTTTTTGAGCATATCAACTCTGTCGTTCGTTGGGGTTTGCCGTACACATTAAGCTCGAGCTATATATCTACAATTGGCGTAACGGTGAATTCACTGTCAGCTTACAATTTTTCAATCTCCCCGATAACTTTCCCCAAGTTAACTATATAAGCAAAGAACAAGTCAGGATTGAAATTGAATCATATATGTATTCCTCTCGTGCACCCAACATCTGTTTTTGAAGTTCAATGTTTGGCAAATTTTTGTTACAGAAAAAAAGTAATATTTAAATCAACATAAATGGCCATTAAAAAAATCAACATACATGAATTTTAGATTACTTGTGATAAGTTCTTCAAATCACATGTTATTGAGACTGATCCGTTTAGCTGGTTTTTAGGTCCGCATTGCTCGGATTTTCAACACCTATGGACCCCGCATGTGTTTAGATGATGGACGTGTTGTTAGCAATTTTGTTGCACAGGTTTGACTCCCTTTCATTATTTCTCTGTTTTTCTTTAAATTGCCATGGGAGAGGTTTTTGCATTCTTATGCTGTTTTTTTCCCATATCTGCAGGCTATTCGCAAACAGCCATTGACTGTATACGGCGATGGGAAGCAAACAAGAAGTTTCCAATATGTCTCTGATTTGGTGTGTAGCAAACACGCTTTTATGTTTTAAAACTTCATATCTTATTGAAACCTATTGATTTTTACCATCAATATGGTATTGCATTCAACATATTTTGCTAATTATCATCTGAACTAGGACAAACCATCTAAAGCTCATCAATGTACAAAAGTTAGTGGTTAGTATTAAGTCTTAATCTAGGTATGTTGAAAGATGTAACTGCAGTCTACGTGTTTTCTAAAACACTCATCTAGTGTGTGTAGCATGATTTTCTTATCAGAACTTTTTCTTGAGTGAACTCCCCAATATCATTCACATGGTAATGAATTTTTCAGAGAGTAACTGAGAGAATACATCAAGCATAGAGAAAAAGCTGCTTTGAAACATGAATCAAAGTATCAATCTTTGCTTGTAATTCATCTAAGCTGTTGCATGAGTGCAGTTTTCTACTACTGTTTATTTGAATGTTAATTTTTACAATTGGATTAGTTCGAATTACACAATGGTGAACTAAATATATTTTAGAATTTGAATAGTCCAAATTACAGAATGGTGAACTAAATATGTTTTCCAATTTACAGGTTAATGGGCTGGCATCGTTGATGGATGGTGAACATGTGGGACCTTTCAACCTAGGTAACCCAGGAGAATTCACCATGTTAGAGCTTGCTCAGGTACCCTGTCTTATTTTGCACTTTCACTCTTATTTATTATGATAAGGTCACCGTCAAATTATGCCGTGACATGCTTATTTTATTCACTATTTAATCAAGGATCAAACATATTGTATGTTTGTTGTATCCTCTATAGTAAGGGAGTAAGTAATGGATTGAAATCGACGTTACCGTTTTATTTTATGAACTTCCTGTTATGGTAATAAAAACATGCAGGTTGTCAAAGAAACAATTGATTCAAGTGCTACAATAGAGTACAAACCAAATACTGCTGATGATCCACATATGAGGAAACCAGATATTAGCAAAGCAAAGGAACTGCTAAACTGGGAGCCAAAAGTCCCACTGAGGGAAGGTTTGCCTCTTATGGTTAGTGATTTCCGGAATCGGATTTTGAACGAAGATGAAGGTAAAGGAATGAAATAAATATAGTAGCTAGTCCTGTGTGTATACAGAAAGTCCTGGTAATGCATCGCTTTTGTAAGAAGTGTTTACTGGCCTTTTACTCATTTGTGCCAGCTTAGCATACAATTGAGTAATTGTTAATTTTTGATATAATTCTTTTCAGCAGTTTGTCTATTGCATTATTAGAAGTTGTAATATCCAATATTTGGATTCTAGTATTATGAGAATGAAAGCTTATATGAAGAAATTTGTAAAACTAGAATTTTTCTTATATGAGAATTCTTTGGTTTTGTCGTCTTAAAATGGTAGGAATATTCTCTTGTAATGTATAGATTCATTTCATAGAAAATTCTCTATGTTTGAGGCTAGCAAGTTGCTGCCCCAAATTGCTTGGTTTAAACTTTATACATCATTTTATGTTAAAGCCAGGGTTAGAAATACTTATTAAAGTTTTAAAAACTCTAAGGAAAATTACATTCACCTCTTTTAAATTCTAGTTTAATGTGACATTAACATACCTCCTCTCTAGTTTTTAATTGTACAATCTCAATGGAAGCCGTATGTTCATTTTGAGAAGGAATTGCAACTTGTTTTTTTTTTTCTTTCTCTCTGGTCTTTTTCTTCTTCTTCTCTCCTTTGGGGTATGTTTGGATTACAAAAGAAAGTGGAAGAAAAGAAAATGATAGTAAAGAAAGCATGATGTAAAAAGAGAATGGAAAGCAAAACAATCATTTAGTTGTTTGGTTTGGTATAAGAGAAAGTGAGAGGAAAGAAAGCTAAAAGATGTATATTTACAAAATGACATAGAAAATTCTAATATTTCTTTAATTTTATTAGTTAACTCTAATTTAATAACAAACGAGACGTTTTTATAGTTAAAAATAACAAATTTACAATTTTAATTACAATAGTTTAAACCAAAATTATTTTTTTAAACGGTTATTTTAATACTTTTAAAATTAAATAATAGCCATTAGGTACCTCTAACAAAGAAAAACATCATTTTATTGAAATTAAAAAGTGTGTTTGGGAAGTGGTGTCGATTCATGCATCCCCACTTTTTTTGTTAACAGAATTTTTCAATTTCTATGAACAGGATAGTTTTAGTTTATGCGAGTTTGATCAGTTGAACTAGATTTTAAAAACTAAAATACAGGAGAGGTTAGGGTAATTTTCTAAAACAAAAATATGGTATTTTTTTACTGTCTTTCTCTAATAAAATTAAGTGAATATTTTATAAGTTAGTTTATGTCGTATAAATTTATGAAATATAATTTATAAATCAGTTGATAATGTTGAATTGTAATTTCATGTGTTGAAGCAGATTGTTTAACAAAAAAAAAGTTGTCGAATAATCTAGTGTGTGTGTTGAAACACCTAGTTGTCGAAGCGTCGAGGAGTTAGCCTCGACATTAATTTTGTCTTAAACTTAATTTTGTAATGTTAGCATAATTAGGTATTTTGGGCCTTTTGTTTTTAGAATTTGCTTAGAAAGCAAGCAAACCAAATTTATAAATAGGGAGTAATCCTATTATTATAAGGTGATTCACTTGAATAGAATTTCAATTTTGAGAGCAGAGTTATTCTGCAGAAATTCTTCTTCCCTATGTTGCTTTGAATCCCTAATTTTCTTTCTTCCCAAATTCAATATTTTTTTTTTGTTTTTCATCACCTCTGTGCAACAAAACAATCTTGCAACCAAGGTTGGTTGATTCACTCGAGAGAAGAGTGAAGAGCAAGAGGAAATTCGATCAGCGTGATTGAATCTTGTTCATCAAGATTTATTCGGAATTACACAAAGTCTTGGGTTTAATTCCAACATCTGGTATCTAGAGCGCTGACTGAGCGATTCGTGGGAAGCAAAATATGATGACGACGAATTATCCGAATGAACATTTTCTGGCAAGTCTTCCAATTCTAAAGGGTCAGAGTTAGTCGAATTGTCGGCACATATAATAGCTATCGAAGTGAAATGGGTGTTTAAGCTGAAGCGCAATGCTGAGCAAGACACCAGGCGAGATTGGTAGCTCGAGGATTTCGTCAGAGAGCAGGACTCAACTACTCTAAAGTATATGCACTTGTCACAAGATTCGAGACTATCAAATTGGTTGTAGCTTTGGCATGCAAGCAAGGTTGATCGACATTTCACTTTGTGAATTAACATTTTTGAATGGTCCCTTAAACGAAGAAGTATATGTCACACAACTTCCTGGGTTTGTGATACATGAGAAAGCAATGAAAGTGTATATGACCTTAAAAGAGACACCTAGGGCATGCAACAAGAAGATTGACTCATACTTAGTTGAATTAGGATTCGTCAAATGCAAATATGAGCATGGTGTCTATGCACAGGTTGTGGTACAAGATATAACAATCATTTGCTTATATGTCAATGACTTGTTAATAACTGAAAATAACTTGGAGAATTTGTTGAAGTTCAAAGAGTTGATGAAGAAGGAATTTGAAATGTCAGATCTGGAAAAGTTGTCGTACTTCACAGACATGGAATTTCAAATGTCGAAGTAAGAATTTTTTTTATAATAACCAGCTATTGTTTAAAATTTACCATAATATTGAAAGTTTCAAAACATTAACCAAAGTGGCACACATTCAACCTTCTGTCGCCAGATGAAATGGCGACATAGTGCAAACTTGTTTTTGGAGTTAAGTGAAGTCGCCATTCAAATTGGCGACATTGTTGTTATGTCAAGAGACTCGCCAATGGGAATGGCGAAACAGGCCATGCTTGCTAGGGTTTGCGTTTTTCTGTTTTTAATTAATGTTTTAATTTTTAATTTTAATTATTTTTTTATAGAAAATATTAAATTATGTATTCATAAATAATTGTTATTAGAAAATATTAATGGAATAGTTTAAGTATATATTTTAATAAATTATTTAAAGAATAATAATATAATTGAAATCAAATATTTAAATACATATTTAAATGGTAATAACATTAAGTTTGTTATTAAATTTATAAATATTTTAATTACGTATTAATAAATATTTGTTATTAAATTATGTTGTTTGTTTTTCATAATGAATTGAAACTTAAATAACCTTAAAATAATATAGACATGTAAAAAATATTAAAAAAATATTAATTTATAATATAATGAAAATTACAACTGAAAAAAAAACTAATGGTCGGCTCTATCCAAGTGACCATCGGTGCCACATTGCGAGGGATGCGCGTTGCGACGAGGTCTACGACGATTTTGTTGTGGTGTGTCTGGTCGTTGTGTGTTGAGTTGTGGAGGAGGATTTTGTTGGGACGACCCCGACGTATCAGATAGATTTTGTAGCATTTGACCCCAATAGCCGGGAGGTCCACTATCAACGGCGCTTTCGTAGTTAAGCCCAATGCCCATGTTTTTGTAGGATGGTCTAGGAGGTTGGGTGGAGTATGGACGGTATGGTTGTCCGAATTCGTACATCGAATTGGGTTGGAAATGATGTGTTGGTTGTTGCGGGATGTGATAATCAAATAGTGGATAGTTGGAGGGGTAGTTGGAGGGGGTAGGGTCAAATGAGTTGTCTGGGCTATAGGTGGAGGGGGTAGGCTCAAAAGACGTATCAGGGCTATAATGGTATGGTGGTTGAGGCTGGGACTGGGTGAGTGGCATGTATGAGTCATGGTAAGGATGTTGTTGATGGGGGGAATTTGGTGGCATGTATGGGTTATGGTAAGGTTGATTTTGGGCACTGGACTGTTGTTATGTGTTTGACGAAGAAGCGCGTTGCCTTGGGTCAACCAAATAGGTTGGCTTGGACAGAAATGGCTGAGATGTCGTGACAGACCTAAACCAAGTCATATATTGAAGACTTGGCCTAGCCCCGTGCACAATATGGTCGGTTAAGAAGTGTTGCCTTCTTCTCTTCCAGTGTTTACACAACTCCTTCGCAAATTCCTTCCAATGAATGACACTCCACTGTGAGTCCACCTGCTTTTGATGTCACTGCCCCAATTCTACCGGAGCATTTGGAATATCCTGATGCATCCCGAATTGTAGCTTCACCCGGTCACTTTGGTGCATCTCCACCGTAGTGAACCTAATTATGGGTGTTCTTGATGTCCACACAACATCATCATTGGGGTCGGTCTGGTGGTCGAGACCCTCGTACGACATCCAGACAAACTACAATAAAGGTGGATATATTTAGTCAGACAGAGATAGACAAATTTATGCATATAAGTTAGACAAATTAAAGGTAAATAACTTACATCATCTGGTCCAAGGTGGTCGATGAGGTTACGGTATTGAATTATAGAGTGCCTGGGACATCTCTGATAATTCATCCCTGGAACAGACCACCTAAAAAAAAGAAACACATATAAGTTAGCATCTAAAACACATCTCACAAATTATTAACTTACATAGAAAATTTGGTTGCTAAATAATCTTGAAAAGAAACTTACTTGTTGGCGTACGAGAATGTAAAAGGATTCCGGTTTATTGGAGCAAGCGTTGGCATCCTAGACCAACCCTGCGCTTGTAGGAGATAGGCACAACCATAAAACATACATGATTTTTTTTTGGAATTTTTGCAAAGTGCGTTATACAGATGGGCGAGGACAGCTGATCCCCAACTATATTCGCACACTTTTTTTATATTTTGTAATAATGGTAACTACATAATATTTATGCTATTTCCATTTCCCTCTGGAAATAAAAAATGGCCGAACAAAATCACAATATAACACCGTATTTTGACTATTTTGTCATATTCGGTGCTATCCCCACTTAAGACAATACTGTTGTATTGTTCTCTGAGGTATTTTAGATTTATTTCCTGACCCATCGGGAGGCCCTCGCTTTCCGCCTGAGTTGCGTCCACACAAAGAGGGGCGCCCAATAAATCTTCGCAAAGTCGGTCAGGGACACCAACTTTGCCATTGACGGCCTTACCATCGATGTGTAGGCCGAGCAACATGTATACATCTTGGAGAGTCACAGTACACTCACCAAAAGGTAGGTGAAATATATGTGTCTCGGGTCTCCAGCGTTCTAACAGCG